AACTTAATCAAACCGACTCTAATCTTAATCTCCTTCTAGGATGGCTGTTACCCCCCCCCAACGCCCCTCATTTTTTTGTATATTATTACAATCCGGTTTTTCCACCTGGCAAGGGTGAGGTTGGTGGTTTAGCGTTTCGCGGGGGGACCAGCGGCGCGGGCGCCCGAGCGCTGCCCCGCGGCGAGACCGAGCGAGCGCGGACCGAAGTTTCGCGGGCCCGGAGGCGGCGGAGCCGTTACCGCGACGCACCGGAAGTAGCCGAGGCCGGCGTCCGGGCCCGCCGCGAGCGAGTTCCCTCCGGTCGGCGACGCCATGGAGCCCGGGGCGGCCGAGCTGTACGACCAGGCCCTGCTGGGCATCCTGCAGCATGTGGGCAACGTCCAGGATTTCCTGCGCGTGCTCGACGGACTTCTACCGCCTGCTGCGCCACCCGACGGACCGTATGGGCTTCCCGCCCGGGGCCGCGCAGGCGCTGGTGCTGCAGGTGGTGCTGCAGGTGACCGGGCGGCCGGGCGACCAGGCGGGGCGGGGGCGGGAGGCCCCTTCCCCGGAGGCCCTTTCTCCGGCGCCCCCTTCCCCGGAGCCCCCGACCCGCGCGATTTCGCCGCCCGTCCCTCCCTGCGCGCCCGGCCGCCGACGTCTCCCTCCGGCGCTGGCCTGGGTTCGCCGCCTGGGCCCGCGGCTGCGAGTAAGCAGAGCCGCTGGTCGCATATCAAGTTGCTCTTCGGGGCAGCGGGCCTGGCGCTCGGCAGCCCGGGTGACACCGCCGCACTTGGGTGTCAGTAGCTCGGCGCCCGCAGCGCTGGGCCCGCGGAGGGGGCGCCGGGGCTGCCGGTCGGGGATGGAAGCGCGGACCTGCGCGCCCCGGGCCACGGCTGGAGGCGGCGGGGGGCCTGGTGACCCGGGGCTCCTATGGGTGTGGTCCCCTTATTTGAAATGTGACTTCCTAGGTCAGAAGCGCGCGTCCGAGCCCGTGTCTGTGTCCCAGGCTAAATGCATTGTGTGTGTGAGGTCCTACTGATACTCACTGGCCGAGTTGACTGTGCTCCTTGGAACGTGACAAGGAGCCACACTCGGCTGCCAGAGCCTTGGAGACGCCACTGCGATGTGGGTATTTAATGAGGGAATTCACGTCGGCCTCCTTGTGACGCTGTGACATTTGAGAAGATAAAACACATCAGAGCAGAGAACGGTGCAAGGCCAGTAGGTGACAGCCGGTTGGGAGGCAGGCGATAGGCTTGGAAATCAGGTTTCACCGGGAGGTGGGACTTCGCTGGGACCGAGCCCGTTTGTAGGAACCGAAGAAGCGCTGGTGCGACCTCCCAGGTCCTCTGGGGCGCACACCTGTCCGCGCCTTTGCAGTTGCGCCTGCAGAAGAGACAAAGCCTGCAGGGTGAGCGACTGCAGAGATGACAGGGTCTAGCAAGGGGTGGAGTGGGTCTCGGTATCAGAACCTCCGGCTGTCCCTCGCCCTCAGCGTCTGAGTGAGGGTGTCTGGCAGTTTAAACTCCATGGACGTCCCTGGGAAGTGGACACGGTTGAGCTTTATGTGGCAGGTGAGGGTGCCAATTCAGCAAGGTCACGTGATTCCACAGACTGGTCCTTGTGATTCCAGCTCTTCCTTACCCATCCCACAGTCGGCGGGCACCCTGTCCTCTAGGGTGAAAGTAGGTGCGGAGAGGAGGAAGGAGCAGCTGCTGAGCGCTGGTATGTGCTGGTTACTGTGGGAGGGGCTTCACATTGCAGGCGCCACCCGACCTAATTCTCACGCAGCCTGAAAGGTTGGCCTTTGCCCTTGTTTTGCCGATGAACTGACATGTAACTCGTTTGTCTGGTGTCAGTGTATAAAGAACCTACTATGTTCCATATACCCTTCCAGGCAGAGGGAGGGGACAGATGAATCAGATGACCTGAGGTTCCAGACTTGGGCGCCTGGATTAATGACAGTGCATTAACTGTACTGTCATTTGAGTTTAGGGGAAAGGGCCAGTGTTAGACACGTCGGATTTGAGATTGCAGACAGAAGCCCCTGCCTACAGGCTGATGGGATCGAAGGATTGGATCTTGCAGGAGACAGGAACTGGAGCAATTTGAGGAGAGAAGAGCTGAAGGTGGAGGGCAGCCCTTGGGGCATGAGCAGGGGAGGGAGGGGAGAAGCAGAGGCTGTAGAGTGGGGGGGGGGGGTGGACGGGTGAGTCTCACCAACACCAAGGGCAGTTCCAGCAGATGGTTGGAGAGGCGGTTGCCCAGGAGCCTGAACAGCCAGCACTCCCGGCAGTTGTCTGGGAAGACCCGGGTGGACCTGGGAGCTGTCCTTTAACCACAGGTCAGCATGGGCGGGCGTTGGGGCACGACGTGGAGATACTGGGTCAGCACAGATTCCCACTGATAGCACAGGCAGGTGGTGGGTGGCTGCCAGCACAGGAACATCGTCACCGGCGTGGTGACGGGCTTCCCACCCCAGAGCCGTGGCGATCACTGTGAGGTGGACAGAGGTCGAGTCGCTGCGGTGCACCTGACGTTCATCTTGTCTGTCAGCTGCACGTTATCACCAACAGAAGGTGCTGCACCGTGTCCCTCTCAGAGGGTCACCTCGTCTGCCCTTCCTGAGGGTGCTGCCTGCAGGTGGGGTGCTGGACGTCCCCTCACAGGCCCAGAGGGCCGGGGTGGAGGACTGGAATGCGAGAGCTTCCCTCGTGCTTGGGCTGGTGCAGAGCTTCTCACACTTCCCCCCGAATTCTGAGGACCACAGCCTGGTACGCAGCTTGAAGGAGCCCCCGGGAGAGGCAAGCTCCTTTCCACGTAGCTCAGTGGTTGTAAACCGTTGTCCACCACAGGCGTCTACCAGTGGTTCTCAACCTTCTGGCCCTTTAATACAGTTCCTCATGTTGTGACCCAACCATAACATTATTCTCGTTGCTACTTCATAACTGTACTGTTGCTACTGTTGTGAATCGTCATGTAAATATCTGATATGCAGGATGGTCTTAGGCGACCCCTGTGAAAGGGTCGTTCGGCCGCCAAAGGGGTCGAGACCCACAGGTTGAAAACTGCTGGTCTAGACGCAAGCGTGGACCTTCCCCACACGCCACGCGCGTCTGCAAAAAAAAAAAGTTTTCCCGAAGTGGCAGCCTTGACCAACTTTAAGATCATTTTTCGTGAGAGTTTTCAGCTGAAAATATTCAAGAACACCCGAATTGTAATATATTTATTTTTATAATATTCATTGCAAATTGATTTTTTAAATTAAATTCAGAATATCGTGGTGTGTGGGGATGGTTTCCGTTTTGGACGCGACGGGTGGCAGTTAACTGGTTAAGAAAAACTAGGTCAGCTGCCATTCCATTCATTTCAGATACTCTGCCCAGAGTCTGACCAGCCTGCACAGAAGCTGCCAAGGGGGTCAGGGAGCCGCTCCCACCGTCCCTCCCAGCTCTGGAGTCCTGGCCAGTCACCCCCTGTCGGGGAGAAGGGGCTGGAGGTCACAGGGGGCCCTTCCAGCCCCACAGTCCCGTGGTTCTAGAATGAGTGGAGGCTGTGGGTGCAGCGAGGAGTGGAAGCGGGTGTTGTCTCCAGGTTCTAGGACTGTTTTCCGCTGCCACGTCTGTCAGTGCTCGGTGCTACCGAATGATTCTCCTTCCTCTGTCACTGGCAGGCCGGGGGCGAGCTCCTCACCTTCGGAGCCGCCTGCCTTCCTCAGCGTTCTCCGGGGTCTTGAGAGAATGTTTGTACAGATTGGCACAGTTCAGCGCCTTCTTTAGTTCTGTCTGCATTCTAGTCCTCCGGAGGCTGACTCCTACCCACTTTTTAAAATTTTTATTTTATTGAGACATTTTGTAGAGAATTTTTAGGTTCACAGCATAGTTGGACAGAAGTCCCACATCACCGCCTGCACCCACATGTCCAGCCTCCCCATTGCCATCACCCCGGAGTCACAGCATCTGTTACGCCGATAAACCTGCACACACGGCACATTCCCGGAGCCCGCCGTGTGCACTGGGCTCACTCGGGGTTGCACACTCGGGTTGGACAGATGCAGTGACACGTACCCCCACGGCCATCACACAGTCGTGTCCTGCCCTGAAAATCCCTGCGCCACCTGCTCCTCCCTCCTCCCAAGCCTCTGGCCGCCGTGGGACTTTTTCCAGTCTCTGTGGTTTTGCCTTTTCCAGAGGTGATCAGAGTTGAAATCATACAGGATGTAGCCTTTCAGACCGTCGTCTTTCACTTAACATGCACGTAAGGGTCCTCCGTGTCTCTTCCTGGCGTGATCATGTCTTCATCGCGTCGAGTAGTCATAGTCCATGTGTGCCCGTCACTACTGAAGGTTGGTTCGAGTTCGACAGATAGGAGTCAAGTTGCCGTGTGCACATTTCTGTGTGGGCTTGTGTGTTGAGCTCCTCTGGGTAAATACTGGGGAGCATGGCTGCTGGGGGTGGTGAGGCTGCCCCCACTTTCCAGGGGGGGAATGGTGGCCCCGCCCCTGGACATGTGGTTCCTGCGGAAGGTGTGCCTTTGGTTGAAGGTCTGATTCAGGCCCCTCCTCCCAGGAAGTCTTCAGGTTTCCCTCATAAGAAGGGGGTTCTAGCCCTCGGTCTGACACACAGTGTGCAGCCCCGCCTGTCCTGCCCGCTGTCCGTGTCGTCTGTGCTGGCTGCACTCCCTGGTGTGACTTGTAGAGGACACCAGCTGGCTCGCCCACGTGCTGAGTTCTGGGGGAGCTGTCAGTGGGGGTGCTCTTGCCCCTGGCAGGCAGGGCACAGGGTTTGTTGAGTGAATTTCCGAGCTTTCCCAGGCCTGTGCAGGGAGCCCCCGCTGTTCTGGGGAGCGAAGGCCAGCTGGATCCCCCTTCGCTCTGCAGTGGGGTTGTTGATGCCCACACCTCGCGCAGCCCCTGGGCAGCGTGTTGTCTGTGTTGCTGGCAGCAGGTGTGAGTGATGGCAGGTGGGCCGAGAGCTGGGCTGGGTTCCTGCGGGCTTCGGCTTGTCGGGCTGCACGTCTGAGGACTGGGAACTCCCCGTGGAGAGGCCCACAGCTGCTCAGTCGAGTCCAGTGCGATCTGTCCCCCAGCGGGAACGGCTGTGGGTGCTGCCTTTCTCTCATCCTGGGCGTTGCCACGTCTCCGCCGCTCATTGCTGGGTCACGTTTGCTTCCAGGTGTTCCAGAACTTCGACCGCATGGCTCGCCAGGACGATGAAAAGAGGAGGAAGGAGCTGGAGGAGAAGATGAGGAGGAAGGAGGCGGAGGCTGCGGAGGCAGAAGCTGCAGCCTCGGGGGAGCAGGCGCCTGTCCCTGCCCCAGAGCTCGAGGTGGAGGTCAACACCACAGACGCGGCTGTGGCCTCGGGCGGGCCTGCGGAGCCTCACGGCCAGCTGCGTGACGTGCAGGAGGTGGCCCCCGGCTCCCGGGAGGCTGCAGAGCCACGGGCCTTGGACACGGGTGCTGCTCAGACCCCGAGGGAACCCCCACCTCTTCCCAGGTAAGCCCTTTCTCGCTGGACACGGGGGTGGGGGTGGGGGTTTGTGGGAGTGGTTCTCACTGGGTGACAGCGCCCTGCCAGCACCTATTTAGCTCCTCATGTTTGCAGGCCTAGTGACAGTACTTTGCTTACACAGACGGCAGTGGCTGCCGCCTTCCTCTCTCTGTCCCTGGTGAGGTCAGGCCGAGTGTTCGGGTCACTCAGCCGTGAAGGCCGAGGGTCTGTGGGCTCCGGCAGTCCCGGTGGTGTCCCTCCCTGCTGGTCATGGCGGTACATGCGCCACGGTCCTTGGCCTCCCGGCACCTGAGGGGCTGTCAGTATAGGGGGCCGTGCACCAGAGTCCCCTTGGCGTGTCAGTGAGTGGAGGCTGTGCCCTCGCTGCTCCTCAGGGTTGCGTCCTGGTCTGTGAGCTGGTCATGCGCCTCTGCCCCTGGTGGGATGCCTGCCTGGGCTCCTGGTGCCGTGTTTGGGAAACTCGTCCCTGCCCTGTCCTGACCAGGGGAGCCCTTCCTCTGCCTCAGCCGCAGCGTCCCTCCCCTCTCCTGCTGCTGCACCCCCTCAGGCTGTTCTGAGCGCAGCTCTTAGTGAGGCAGCACGTGGAGGCGGTGATGTGACACTGAAGGTGGACGGGCAGCACCAGAGGAGGCTCAGACAGCAGGTGTCGGCCGGCGAGGCCGGTGGCGCGGGAGGGGGCTGGGCGTGTACATGGGACTCCAGTAGAGAAGGAGGGCCTGGAGGGGTCAGCGCAGGACAGGGATCCGCTGGCCCTCGGCCGAGGATGCTCGTCTCAGACGCAGCTCCCGTGCAGGCGGCTGGGAGGAGCCTCCCCCTGCGTTGGTCCCAGAGCTGCCTGTGGGGTCCTCATTGCTGGGGATATTCTCGTTGCATATTGAATGGAGCCTTTTAAAAAATAGACATGTCCCAGTCCTGGTCGGTGGTCTCAGCTGGCTGGGCGGCGTCCTGTGCCCTGAGAGGTTGCCGGTGCGGTTCCCGGGCAGGACTCAGACCTGGGTGTGGGTTTGACCCTGGGTCAGTGTGTGCACAGGAAGCAGCCAGTTGATGCTTCTTTCTCATCGATGTTTCTCTTTCCCTCCCCCGCTCCCTTCCTCTCTCTAAAATCAATAAAAGCACATGAGAAAAAAGAGTGTCGTTCTGTCTTCCTCGTGCTCGCAGGGTCTCTGAGGGGGGAGAGTGCCGATGGTCCCTGTCTGGACCCGTGCCCCCTGCTCCAGTGGTTCCCTTCCTCATTCGCCGCAGTCTGAGCTCCGTGTGCTGGGGGTTCCCTGTGTTTATGCTGCAGGGGATCTCAGCCCTGAGCCCAGGCTTTCTCCGTCGTCTCTCCGAGGTCCTGTCCTCAGACGTTCTTCCCCTGCTGGGGGTCCCACCTCAGCTCACCACACACTGCCGACAGGAGGCGTGCTTTCTGCAAATTCCCTTGGATCCTTTTTTAGGGTTTGATTTCTACTCACATGGCTTTGCTCTAAATTGTTTAATATGTTTGTAGCGGCTGTTGAAAGTGTCCATCATCTGTCATTTCTTGGCTGTTTCTGCTGACTGAATGGTCTCCTGATTTGGGCCGCGTTTTCCTGTTCTTCCCACACCTGGTAACTTCATGTTGGATGCGGGAGGTTGTGAATGCCTGGTTGCGTCTGGATCTCCTTCGAGGGCTGTGGAGTGTTGTTCCTGCAGGCAGTGACGGCGCCTCCGGGAGCTCGCGGGGAAGCCTTGCTGGGCATCTGGATCCCCGCTGCTTTGGGCTGGTGCTCCCTCTTCCGAGACGCGGCCTTGGGGGCTCTCCCGAACCTTCAGGTGTGCAGCGGGCCCTGCCCTCGGGCTGGTGGAACGTGGCCGTGTCCTGCCCTTGGTGGCCCCGGGGACCTTGCTGGCTCCCTGGGGCTCCCCTTTTCCAGAAGCCTGTCCCTGAAGTAGAGAGGAGAGTGAAGACAGAATATCCAGTTACTTCTGTCCGTTTCGTTTATTCCAGCATCACTTGTATCGGCCAAAGGGACAGTGCTGGACGCTAAGACATCCGCACGGTGTCCTAGGAGCGCAGACGTGGTGTGGGGGTGGCAGTTCATGTCCCTCAGCGAGCACCATCGGGGTCGCAGGGTGGTGCTGTGGCCTCAGGGAGGCTCTCCTGGGCGGTCAGCCCCGGAAAGGTGGGGCGGGTCCCCTGGGACGGCAGCTCAGCCTGTTTCGGGGCCTCCCTAGTGGCCTGTTGGGGTTCAGACTGGCCTCGCTGCCCCACAGGCACCAAAGCCCATTTCTTATAGTAAATCTCTGAATATATTTCTTCTGGTTCCGTTTCTTTGGTTCAACCCTGACTTAGATATTCTCATGATAGAATATCACGTGAGAAAAGCAGGCTTCAAACTAACAACAAATTTGGAAAACATTTAAAATTATACAGAGGGAAGGCATGGAAGGAAACATTATTAATAATGGTGGAATTGAGTGTTTTTCATTGTCATCTTTGTCCCTTATGTTTTCTAATTTTTTTGCAATGAGCATACATTTTATTTTACTATTTTTTGTATTTATAACTTCTAAAAACTTTTTAAAAAGGGGGTTTGATTTTGATTCTGAGTAGCCGTGAGAATGGCTGCCTGGTTGTGGAGGTTTTGTAGAGACCGCTCTCTGTTCTTGGGCCAGCGCTGAGTCCTGGGCAGCCTGAGCTGTTGGTGAGGCCCCAGCTTGTTGGGGGGAAACCTCAGGGGGGCACGCACCAGCGCCCTGGCAGGGCCTCAGCCCTCAGGAGCTCACAGCTTTTCCGTGAACATCGCAGGAAGTGGCGGCCATGTCTCCGAGTCCCACCTGGGTCGGGAAGTGGGCGTGGAAGCAGCCTGTCCTGCTCTCCCCAGGTGGTGCCAGGTCCCCGGTCAGTGCCCGGGGTCTGCACCCTGTAAACTGTGAGGCAGTTACTCTTCTGATGACCACACACAAGCTCTGTCGTCCGGCACCCTGTCCAAAAGCCAGTTCCCTGGAACCAGGTCTGAGACGCTGGCTTCCACTGGCTCCTGTCGGCCACCCACTGCGAGAGGCTCTGCCAGTGCTAGTCATGGGCAGCGGCCACTCGTCTCGTCCTGCTGTCCTGTCACACGCTTGTTTGATTTAAACAAATTCAGCAGAGGCCCTGCGGGGAAATGCAGTAAGACACTAAAAGCGTGTGCACCTGTATTTTACACACGTTTCAGTATGAGCCGTATTCACTGTGTACACTACACAAGAGCTCACTGTTGGAATGTCCGTGACTGACAAGTGTGGTCCCATAAGGGCCATCGACAGACAGGACACTCCGCCCACCCAGCTCTGGCTTCTCTGCCCGTCCCCTCCAGGCCCTGCCGACCACAGGGCTCTCTTGTACATATAAACCACGCATGTGGCACTTTGGGGTGGTTTAGGAGATATTGGAGGGAAATTTTAATTTGAGCTACGCCCTACCCCTGCCCAGGGCTGACAGGGCCCAGTTTTATTCCTTAGAGGGCAGTCTGGGCACATGTGTCCTGGACACACAAGAGGGCACCTGAGAAAGTGCTGGGCTCTGCCCGGCTCCCAGCTCCACGTTGTCGTGGTGAGGACATGGTGACGGGTGATGCCCAGGGTCCTGCTGGGACTGCCCGGACCCGTGCCTGTGCTCAGAGGATGGTGGGTGCTGTGCCGAGGGCAGCAGGAGAGGGACAGCCAGGCGCCTCTCAGAGCTGCCAGTGCAGGCTGCCCGGCTGGTCCGCGGCTGCGTCGTCCTGCAGTTCACCGCTCGGCCGGCAGGTGTCGCTGCAGCTGGTGCTGGGATGCGATGGAAATGTACACAGGCTGGGCCACCTCTGGCTTTGCCTTTATAGATCAGAAACAGAATTCTCTAACAAAGAAGATGAGAGAAAGTAAATGACTGCCTGGCAGCTGGGCTGCCTGAGGGGCGCTCTACACTGTGATGTGCATGGCGCGCACACTCCCGGGAACAGGCCAGAGCGCGTGTGATGGCTGCCGGCTGAAGCCTGGCCGACAGGCTGGTCAGGAGGCTGCTCCGTGTCTTCGTGTCCGCGTGGCAGGTCCCAGGTGCCCCTGGGGCACAGTGTGCAAGAGGAGCTCAGGTTCCCTCACGCCTCCTCCGGGCGGGCACTGCTCACGGCCTCAGGCGCCCAGGCCCAGCTCTCAGCAGAGCCCTCCAGCTCCTCCTCCGGCTGCCCCCTCGGCACGTGTCTCCTCGCCATCTGTTCTCAGCTGGGGAGGTAATTCTGAGCCGTGTGTGAAGTGCCTTTTATGATTGGTTTAGGAGCTTAACATTTTTAACATTATTATTGCTTTCAGAGAGGAAGGGAGAGGGAGAGAGAAACATCAGTGATGAGAGAGAGTCACTGATTGGCTGCCTCCTGCTTGTCCCCTACTGAGGATCCAGCCTGTAGCCTGGGGTATGTGCCCTGACCAGGAATCAAACCGTGAACTCCTGGTTCATAGGTTGATGCTCAACCACTGAGCCATACATACCTGCCAGGCTGCATTTTTGTTTTTATTTGGAATTTGCTATTAGCATGTAGCTGTTCGCTTCCTCCCAGCAGAGGTTAGCCTGGGTACTGACAGCACTGATGTACGTGGAGCTGCTTGGAGACGGAAGCTGTGAGGCAAGGTGAGCTGCTGCCCGAGCCCGGGGGCGGCTCCGGGAGCCGTGGGGAGGACAGTGTGAGGATCGGCGGCAGTTCTTCCCCGAGAAGTGTGTGTTTCAGGGTGTGAGAAGTTGACATGTACAAGGGTGACGTCCTTGTGTGGCGCCACCATGTGAGGGTGGGGCCAGCATTGTGGGCTCGGGCGCGGGCGGGACAGTGGGTGCGCCCTGTGTGAGGAGAGCAGCTCCCAGCGCAGAGAGCCTGCTCAGCACTAGCCAGCCAGCTCCCGGGAGTGCTGTCCTGTCACACCAAGAAGGCCTCAGGCCAGCTGGCCTGCTCCCGTGGGAAACAGCGTGCACCCACCGAGGATGTTTTCATAGAATCTGATCACAGACGGCAGAGCCGGAAGAACGCGCCGGCCCCGTGCACCCACGCCAGCCCGTGCTGCCCTGCCCTCCGCCACCCGCCAGTGTTTCAGTGCCTGGTTTTCTGGTAATGTCCCAATTTACATAACAGTGATGACAGTGTGTGTAAATCTACAAATAAGGCCCCAGCCAAACATTGCTTGTAGTTGACCCTCTATTCTCTTTTATTCCCTCAAAATTCATTTGTTTAAAAAAGCAAGTGTTGGCCCATAGAGTTTCTACAGTCTGCGTTTTGCTGGCCTGTGGTGTGGTGAGCTCGCTGGGGACTTAGGGTAAATGTTTTTGAAGGGCGGGGGAAAAAAGGAGACATATGTAATACCCTTTGTAATACTTTAAGCAATAAAAAAAAAAAAAAGAAACAAGTGTGCCCTGGCCAGTGTGCTCAGTGGTTAGAGCGTCAGCCCATGCACCGAGGGCCCGTGGGTTCGATTCCCGGGCGGCCACAGACCTGGGTTGCAGGTCTGATCCCCGGCCCCAGTCGTGATGCATATGTGAGGCAACCGGTTGATGTCTCTGCCACATCCATGTTTCTCTCCCTCTCTTCCTCCCTTCCTCCCTCTCTCCCACGCTATTTAAAAATCAATAGAAAAACAGCCTCGGGTGAGGATTAACAATAAAAAAGAAGTTACAAGAGTGTGTGATGAAAGTGAGTTCTCCCTAAAGGCAACCGTGGGTCATGTTTTCTTTTGTAAACTTGTGTTTTATAACATTTTTCACGTTGGCCCATGTTTTCCTGTCACGTGATTGCTGTGTGTGGACTCTGTCGCGTCCATGGGGGACAAGCAGTAGCAGGGACCTGTCCTGCGGCCAGCGTGTGGTGGGCGTGGCTGGCCTTTCCCCCACGGCACTGGCCCCTGCCCCTGTCACAGTTGGGAACCGGCCGATAAGCCCAGTATTCACGGGGCTGTCCCAGCGGACTCCTGGCCTGCCCTGGAGGGAGGTGTTGGGAGGGCCTGGGCGCGCCCACGCGAGGGGACGCTGACGGAAGCAGGACCTTTTGCCCTCAGAGCATCCCCCGTGGCCGCACGTCACCCCGAGTCCCCTGGGGAGTGTGATTAGGTGGTTCCTGGCCTGGCCGTCGCTGCCGTGCTGCTGGACAGGCGCATGGACATCTGCTGGACAGGTTCCCGGACGGCCTCCTGCGTCACAGGGCCAGGCCGGGCCCTCTGGTGGGTGGCAGCCAGGCCGGGTGCCCTGGCCCCTTTCTCGGCCTCGCTGGCTTTGGGAAACGCCGCGCCCTGTGTGTGTGCTGGACACGACTGGCTGTGCAGGCGACTGTATTTCTTTTCCTCTCTCTGTGCACGTCTGTCTCTGTGTTGGCCATTCTTCACTGGAGGACGAGACCTGCCTCCCCCTCCCCCAGGCTTTTTTTGGAAATTAAATTTTCTATGAGAAAATCTGTTGAAATTTTCTTTGGGGCTACGTTAAATTCATGGTTCGAGTCAGAGAGTGACCTGTCTGCATTGAGCCTTTCTTTCGAAGGGCAGGTGTGCCTTCTGTACTCGGTCTGTGTTGCCTGTGGGATTGTGGTTCCATTCAGTCTGTGTGGTGGGGTTTCCAGCCGTGTCTCAGGCGGTTTCCTTAGCTTCTCTGAGGATGCAGGCTGTTTGGTACTTAGTGTAGCATTTTAGTGACAACAGCATCTGGAAGTAAACTGCATGTTTAACGCTTAGAACCTTAACCACAGCCGCATCTCTTGGTCCTGCGGCCGCAGCTCAGTGTGGGCTGCAGGCGTCAGAGGCTGGGAGCCGCTTGCCGAGCCCCAAGGCATGGTGCCCAGAGTCCCCAGGTCTGTTTATTGTGCGTCTTTAAGACACTTTCCACGTTTAGATAACCCAGGTGCCCAAAACGTTGAAGAAATCACACAGAGACTTCCCCTGCACCCACTCCCGGCCTTCCCGCCTCAGGTCCTGCTGCAGCCACCCGAGGGCCTCATTCCAGCGTGTCCTTTCTCCTGGGCCAGGTGTGGCCTCCTCCCTGCACGGGGCCACCTCCTCCCTCCATGGGGTCACCTCCTCCCTGCACGGGGCCACCTCCTCCCTCCATGGAGGCCACTCCTCCCTGCACGGGCCACCTCCTCCCTCCATGGAGGCCACTCCTCCCTGCACGGGCCACCTCCTCCCTCCATGGGGTCACCTCCTCCCTGCACGGGGCCACCTCCTCCCTCCATGGAGGCCACTCCTCCCTGCACGGGCCACCTCCTCCCTGCCTGGGGCCACATCTCGTCAGTCGGACTTCTCTTTGCAGCTGTCCCTGGACAGGGTGGTTTTCTGTGATGTTTCCTGTGGCTGACAAGGTACTGTTTCTCCTTTGTAGCAGCTGAGTGTCTAGTGGGGAGAGGCTTAGTAAACATTTTGTTTCTCCTCAGGGGTGCCCACTGCTAGCACTGGCGCTGGGGTGGCTGTTCCCGCCCTCTGGGCTGGGATTGTGCTGTGAGGAAGGGCTCGCTCACGCCTCCATGTGGAACGGGGCAGGCGTCATGGTAGCACCCACCCCTTTGAGGAGGTCAGCTTCTCAGCTTAGGACCAGGCCGTTCCTTCCGGGACCAAACCTGCTGGTAGAGTCGCCTTTTCCCCCTCGGCCCTGCCTCTGGGGTCCCTGGCTCCCCGGCTCCCTGGTCCCCTCGCCATGCCACCTCCCGCAGAGCTGGCCTCGCTCCTGGCCGCACTCCAACAGGTGCCTCCTTTCTGGCGCAGGCAGTGCCGGTTCCTCCTTCCAGGCCTGGGCACACCCGTCCCCGGTCGGCTGGGACCATCAGCGGCTGGTCATGGGCCAGTGGTTTGTGGCCAGGACAGAGGGGGCCCAGGCTCGCCCGCCAGCCCTAACCCCCCCCCCCCCCCACCTTCTCTGCCTGGGCCTGGGAGGCCCGCCAGCCCTCCGCCTCCCCAGCCGCCTCCTTTCCTACTTTGCCCGTTTCTGCGTCTCCTCGGATGCTGAGCTTTTACTCATCAGACCCTGGTCACCTGCAGCAGGACTTGGACTCTCTTAAAAGGGACGTTTCGGTGTCTGATGCCAGTGTCAGGAGCAGGCAGGGTGGGCTCCAGCCACCCCGCTGTGGCCTGTGTCCCCGTGTCGTCCCCAAACCACCGTGGGCCCGGCTGGTGAGACAGAGTCGCTCTCCCCTCGAGGACAGCGTCCCCCAAGCTGACAGCCTCCCGGGGGGCGAGGCCGAAACGTGTGAGTTGGAAGTTGGATGTAAAGTGGGGGTTTCAGGGTGACAGTGGGGTCCTGACAGGACTCGGTGGGGCTGTCAGGATGGGTAGAACTCAGGGCTGTGACTTTGAGGTTCACTCGGAGGCCCAGGTGAAAACTGGGGTGAGTCACCTCTGTGGGCACATTGGACACCCTCGGGGCAGTAGCTGGCTGAGGGGGGTGGGGCGGGGGGACAGGGACGAGAGCTGGGCCGTGGCTGCGGCGTCTGGTCTGTGCCTGCTGAGTGGGTGGTGCGTGTCCGCATCTCGACGTGACCACCCACTAGGCTGTCTCCAGGCTCTGCTTCCGCCGGGGCCGGGCCGGGCGCCCCCTCCCGTTCCCCTGGAGGTTGGAGTGTGGTTTCTCCGTCTCGGTACTGCTCCCTTTGGAAGTCGTCTGGTGATTGGAATCGTTTCCTCATTTTGGATGACGAGGAGTAGAGAATGGAGTTAAAAGACTAAGAATTCCGCATTCTTCAATGGTTATATTTATGGAACAGATGACCTACTTTTTGTTTTAAATGTATATCTCACTTTTACATAATTGTAAAAAATTGGAGTGCCTCTTTCCCTTGTTAAAATAATTAACATGATGTAAGGAAATGTCTCATGTAACCAGGTCTCATTTTTAGTCGGTTGGGGAGTTCATAGTAAACACCGGTGTGTTCACGTTGGCGGAGCGTCTGATCGGTGGTCAGAGCAGCGAGCACGCAGGCACGTTACGCGAGATCCCAGGTACCCTGCCTCCTTTATTTCAGGTATAGAATCACTTAGTTTTTTCTTGTTGTTTTTTGTTTTTGTGAATCCTCACGAGAGGATATTTTTTCCATTGATTTTTAGAGAGAGTGGAAGGGAGGGGGAGAGAGAAAGAAACATCAATGTGAGAGACACATCGATTGGTTGCCTCCCACACGTGCCCTTGACTGGAATTGAACCAGTGACCCTTCAGTCCGTGGGCACTCTAACCAGTGAGCAACGGACCAGGGCAGGACTGGGGACATTTGATTGTAGTGATAAGTCTAATCTTTTTTCCCTGTTTAAAATATTTTTTTTTATTTCAGAGAGGAAGCGAGAGGAAGAGAGAGAGAGGCATAAATGATGAGGGAGAATCATTGATGGGCTGCCTCCTGCACACTCCACACTGGGGATCGAGCACAAAACCTGGGCATGTGCCCTTGACAGGAATAAACCCTGACCTCTGGTTCACAGGTCGACGCTCAGCCCTGAGCCACGCCGCTGGCCGGCAGGGAGCCATGGTTGTGTTTTATGACCTCAGGGTGTGAACACACCTGTGCTCTGTGCCCTGTGGACACTGCTCTGGGAGCTCGCATTGTCCATCGGGGCCAGCAGCAGCCTGTCAGGGACCCTCTTCGTCTGAATGAGGGTCTTGCTCTGGGGTCCGGACGGCTCCGGCTGCCGGGCCTGGTCGTGTGGGTGAGGACCTCGCTGGGGAGGGCTGGCGGCGACGCTGAGCCGTGGTGCCAGCTGTAGGTAAAACGACTGATGCTGGGTTTTAAAAAGAAACTCACAGGTAACAGCATTACCCAGGAGGCTGGAGCCACGCGTGGTGAGGTGTGAGGGCTGTGGCTGGGCTGGCACCTGACTTGTGGTTCTTCCTCAGGGGACAGGAGCAGTTCCAGAGAAACCCCGACAGCTACAACGGAGCCGTGCGGGAGAACTACACCTGGTCCCAGGACTACACCGACCTGGAGCTCAAGGTGCCCGTGCCCAAGCACGTGGTGAAGGGCAGGCAGGTAAGCGGCTCTCCCAGCCGCTCCGCTCGGGCACAGGTGTCCCCGGCCCCCCCCCCCCCAGCCACGCCAGCGGGTGTGGACCCCTCGCCCCGCCTCCCGTGCTGGTGGCTGCACCTGAGCTCCGCTTGTACGTTGCAGTCTCTCGGGTCATGGCGTTCAGTCTCCACGGAAGACGAGGTGGGCTAGGCCGCTTCACAGCGGGGAGCGCGTGGCCGGGGCTGAGCAGCCGAGCGCTGGAGGGACAGGTGGCCCCAGGGCGGTGGGGGACAGGCGGGCGGCGTTTTGCTCGGCAGGTGCTGCTCAGGCCCCGTCCCAGCCGCCCTGGCCGTTGTGGGGTGCGGGAGGGCGCAGGGCTGCTCGGGCTCGGGGTGTGGCCGAGCCTGTGTGGGTGGCACCGGGGCTGATGCAGTGGAGGCGTTTCTGTGACACCACGGACTTAATTTACACTCGCCTCCCTCCATCTCTACAGTTTGCATTTCCCTCCCCCGTGGTGTTTTTCCACGGCATCTCATTATGCTGTGACCTCCTTTTAACAGTTCTCGTCTCCGTTTCTTGGTGACCTGAGTGTTGGTCGCTGAGAGCCGGCGAGCTGAGTGCAGCTCTGGTTTGCTGACCTCAGGGTTTCTTGGGGCTGCCGCTTCCTTCGGGGCCGCGCAGCCGTTCCCAGGGGCCTCCGCAGCGACCCGTCAGCAGTGTGTATTTTTGGTCTTTGTCCCTGGCACCTACCAGGTGCCATCCTGATGGCGGTGTGACTACAGCAGGGCACAGGGGGTTGGGGGCAGCACGGGGTGCAGGGGGAGGTGGGGCCCCGAGTGTGGGGTCCTGGTTCTCTTCTCCAGCAGCTGCAGGAGCCACAGGCGAGAAACTTGCCGCCTCCGCCCACTGGTCTCTGTGGCAGGGCCTGCCCGAGGGCGGAGGCGTGCAGGGCGGGTGTCCTGCTCACAGGCAGCCCTTCCGTTGTTTGTCCTGGTGCGTCTGAAGGAGACTTCTCCAGGCGGAGCTCGGGTCTCAAGCCTTAGAGACGTGGCAGGTCTTTGCTTTGTCCACTCTGCTTGCCTTCCTCAGGGTAGCCATGGCGACCGCGATGTCAGCCGGCTGGTTACCAAGCTGGCATTTTGCAAATCCTAGGGTATGATGCTGGGAAGCTGACCTCCAGAGCATTTTAGTGTAAAGTCTCATTGCAGGTGAGAAAACTCCCAGAGGTGCAGACTAGGCCACACCCAGCCCCCTTTCAGCCTGGGCCACACTGACCGGCAGCGGGTCCCTCTCCTCGCGCTCTCCTTCCTCTAGGGGGTCCTGCGGCCCTGGCTCACGCTGTGCTGCCGCCCTCCATGCCCTGGGAACTTGCGGAATCGCACCGGCCTCTGGGCACGCCCTGCCTGTGCGGCTCAGCCCCTGCTCGAAGTGCTGCTGGAGTCTGTGCCCAAAGCTCTTGGAAAGCTCGTGGCTGCGTCAGGAGCATGGGAAGGCCCTGCTGGGGCGCTCCTGATGGAGCGGCTGCAGGCTGCACTCCTGCGTAGGACGTTTTTAAATACACAAGACGGCTGTTGGGGTCTAGCACGTGTACAACCACAGGGCTGTCTGGACCGGCCGGCCCGCTCGCCATCACGGCAGGTTCCCCGGGGCCTCTGGCGGGTGTTTCGTGCGTCGCCATCAGCATGAACCTCTATGGTCCCTCCCACCTTCAGCACAGACCTGTTCCCAGTCCAGGCCTGGGGGGAGCTTTCTGAGTCTGGTCGGAAGCAGCCTGGCGAGTAGGGTCCCCGGGTGTGTAATGAGCTTTGGAGGAGCTCCGTCCCCC